TTGAATTAGTTGTTCCTAATCGCTACGTAACTGCAGTTTTTGGTTAGTTTTTTTTAGCACAAAACTGGAATCAAATTTACATCGAACGGCAAGATAGCTCTGATTCAAAAAAGTTGGAACAGGGTTTGTGTTCTTTTTTTTCGTAAAATTGCTTCAACTGATTGGAATAACAAAGTTCACATTTTTGGAATAAGTTTAAACAAGACTTGGAAGAAGAATCAAGAAGAAACTGAACTTAACTATCAATTCACAAAACTTGGCAATTCATAATTTCCTAACACAAATGGTGTTTCCATGTCTCGTGTGAAGCTTTGGTTGATGCCAAAACGATTCCAACAATTTTTTTCCATGTTTGGGAGGTAGTGGGTGGATTCACGATGTTTGGGAGATTTGCCAGAGGTTTGCTCCCAAATATGCAGGTTTCTTAAAAATATATATTGATATAAACCTCTCTCCAGAAATGCTTCCTTTAGGTTATGATTAGGACCCTGCTCCTATCTAAAGAGCTGAGAAGATTTCCTGCTGAAAATTAAGAAACTGAGGTTGCAACTTCTGAAAATCATTTTTTTTCTCAGGTTTTCTTCTCTGTTCAGAGATAGCACAGCTTAATAGAAGGGTTTTAATGTAATTTAGGCCTCGTTTGAAAAAAAATTCCGAAAACAGTTTGTCATACAATTTTAATCAAAAACAAATGTTTAGTCATGCAATTCGGTTCCAACTCTGCTGATACAAGCATTCTTGTTTCAGTTTGTTTCAAAAATCTGAGTTGAACGAAATACGGTCAAATTGCAGTCTATGTTAAAGTAATCAACGCATACCAATCGACTAACAAAAAAAACCACAACGCCCTCGATCTAATTTAATGCAGATTAAAATTCTTGTGCAGCTTAAGGTCTAGAAAAATGACCAAAATCAACCTACTTTCACTCCAAGTTTTGATTGCCCTATAAAAGTAAAAAGTAATACTGACCTATAGCTGCAAAACAATAAAACATAAACTTTTAATGAGACTGCTGGAATCAGGGTAAAACTTTGCATGTTTGACTGCTTCACGTTAATGAATCAGAACTAGTTTTTGCGGATCAACCGTACAATCTCATGGTCGTACAATCAAATGGTTTAAGAGGGTGAAAACATCCACTTTTCAAACAATTTGATTGAGGGTAATTATATTAATTGGTTAATTTGATATTTTAAATTTGAAACATGATTAAAACGTTGATCTAAATGTTTTTAGCTTATCAAAAAGACAAGTTATCTTAAAAAATTTTAAACTATTTTATTTTTGCGTTTTTATGAAAAGCCTGTTTTTATAAGTTTATTTTTCAGAAAAAATACTTGCTTGGAGTTGATCAATCTTTTAAAAATTACGATGAGGAATTAGGAATTAGGATGAGGAAAATTGTACGGTTGATACGTTTTTGATTTATGAAAACTAAAAAATTTACAAAGTAATTTTATAGTTTCTCAAAAATTGTTTCTTTTTTTTTTTTAGCAAATATTCATTTTCCTTGTTCTTAAAATCTTTATTTATCATATTTTCCGGTTTTCGCACTAACTATTAGGCATTAATTAGATTCAAAATGGTTTCTTAGCCGGAAAAAATTACCGCCAACATAACGCATTGTTGAAAAACTGCGCAGAATGTTCCTCAAGTTTATCCCATTATGCTACATGTTTTCTTTCAAGTTTATTTAATCAATGTTTTTCAAAAATTTTTTAAAAAAATCTGTTAAGAAAACGAAAACCATTACTATGCCTAAAACGACCATTTACTCAATACTTCTGAGTTTTTCTTGCTGAGTCAAAAGCGCAGTTTAACTGCAATTTTTTAGGGCTAGAAAATTCATTTTTTTTGCTGAACTGAATTTTCAATTTCCCTTTGACATATTAAACAAAATTTAATAGCATTTTTGACGGAAATAATAATAAAAGTTTTGACAGTTGAAACTACTATAGAAATTGGATTCAACGATAAAGCAAAAAAAAATTCCAATCAAAAAATTATCCCGAAGCCTGATTGGCTGGAGAAAACCACAAAAAATTTTTTTGAACAATGAATAGCGGTTTTTTTTTATACACCAGCGCTAGGATTTACAATTTTGGTCATCGGCGATTTAGAGAAATTTCAGCAATTAAGTTTTGTCAAACTCAATTTTGGGGCACTGATTGTTCTAATGGTGAACATGATTTCTCTACTACGGAGTGCATGCAGTAGTTACCATCAGTGTTTCGTCGTTAACTATTAAACGGTGGACAGATGAGTATTGGTTTATATGAAATTATCACAAACAATGTGACCCGCAAAGCACTTCATGTCCTGTCCTAATTGATGTCATTTACAGTTTGTAATGCTCCAAAAGATGGCTAGGATTTGAAATGAGGGTAGAAATGAGGGTAGTAAACCAGTCCTTTAGAGTAAAGGTCTGTATACTCTTTACTGGTGCTCTAGGATGAACAAAAATTCGGATGGACAAAACAATTACAAAGAGCAAGGCACGTAACTCAAAAAATTTTAAAAAAAATTGACAGCAAATTGACAGAAAAATTGACAGCTGTTTTTTGACAGCAATTTGGGTATAAAGGCTGTCTAAAATTTCAATCCTTAATGCATAATTTGAATTCGACGACTATTGCTCTCAATTTTCCAATCTAATTTTAGCTCTATAATTAGCCGCAAAAGGCTGGAACAGAAAGAAATAATCAAAAAATGCAATCTGACAGTTTTGAGAAAACTTTGTATGCAAATATGAACTTATATATGACTTTGAGACAAACTTTCCGTCCAAAAAATCATCATTTTTTGCATGCAAAAATGTCTTATATAGGCCATTTGCTCTTGTCATAGTTAATGCCAAATTGTTGGCAATATTTGTGACCTTGGGCAGTTTGATCGGTCAAAACTATAGCATTTTGGGTTGATTAGTTTTAGGGAAACTGTTTTTCTTGTGTAAACTAGCAACAAAACTGCTCGTATCAGGGCGAGGCCCCGAATGTTCCAACTGCCTTTTAAGGTCTATGGAGCTGTAAGAACACGAAAAATTGAATGTAAAAAAATGAAATAACATGAAAAACTGAGTATAAGTTTTTTTTTCTTAATTTCAAATCATTCCCCACACGCCATATAAAATACAAAGTGATAGATTTTGCTCCAATAAACAAATCAACTATGGCAAATAAGCTTCCTTCCGCTAATTTGGAACGGTTTCAAAAATGGATTAAATCTCCGATTACGGGTTAATAGCGCAAAATACATCGCTCGTTAATTGTCCCAAATTGGCCAAAATGGCTATCTTTAAACCCCTATTACTTTACGAAAATCGATCATAGGTGAAATATTTTTTTTTTCAAAATTAATCTCAAGGCAACAATACCTTTCAGAAGATATTAAAAAAACCCGCTAAAAATGGCTAGTTAAAAAGTCGAAAATTGTCTGAAGAAAAAAAAACCCACCCCGAACACAAACATTCCGTTACTTTTGTTACAAAAGTCGGAACAATCAGAAGAAATTCGACTTCAAATCAAGGTTTTTTAGATAAATTGACTTCGTTCAGATTTGTTGAACGAAAAAATATTGCCAACAAACAAATTGGCATTAACTTCATTTATTTTTTTACAGTGCTGATTTAAATTATCCGAGCAAAACGAACAACTTGAATTTTCAAACACATTTTTCTCAAATTGGGTTAATATAGAGAAAAAAAGAAATCAAAAATTAATTGGAATTTCATCAGAATTAATATGGTGCAATTTTTTTCCCGAAATTTTCAACCAAAATTTTACCCCAAAAATTTCTCATTTAGGCTTTTTTCAATTAATGAAGAATTACGCTGAAAGTAATTTGTTAATTGCTTGGGAATATATATCACAAGAATCCTCTTACACAGCCCAACAAAGTTCTTCAAAGGTTAAATCTCCAAAATGTGAGTAAATTGTTTAAAAATTGTTTTTACGCAAAGTTTTTGGGTTTTATTTTGTAACATTCACGTTCTTTGAGTATCAACATCAACGTTCTTTGAGCCAAAAAGATCCACTTTTGGGGTAAAGTTTGGTTGAGAATTTCGGAGAAAAAATTGCACCATATATTGATGAAATTCTAAGCAACTTTTGTTTTCTTCATTTTTTTGTATAATCTTAACCCAATTTGAGAAAAACGTGTTTGAAAGTTCAAGTTTTGTTCGTTTTGTCCGGATAATTTAAATCAGCACTGTATGTCCTAACTTTTTGCAACACTAAGTAGAGAGTTGCAAAAACTTGAGGACAGACAAAATTAATTAAAAAGACAAAATGACTTATTTCAGAGAATTTTCTATGCAAAAGATATTTTTTCAGAAAAAAATCGTGACTCTAGGTCAGCTAAAAACTCAAATTTGCATGCATATAGGCCATTTGCTCTTGTCATAGTTAATGCCAAATTGTTGGCAATATTTGTGACCTTGGGCAGTTTGATCGGTCAAAACTATAGCATTTTGGGTTGATTAGTTTTAGGGAAACTGTTTTTCTTGTGAAAACTAGCAACAAAACTGCTCGTATCAGGGCGAGGCCCCGAATGTTAATGGCTAGTTAATGGCTAGTTAAAAAGTCGAAAATTGTCTGAAGAAAAAAAAACCCACCCCGAACACAAATATTCCGTTACTTTCGTTACAAAAGTCGGAACAATCAGAAGAAATTCGATTTCAAATTAAGGTTTTTTAGATAAATTAACTTCGTTCAGATTTGTTGAACGAAAAAATATTGCCAACAAACAAATTGGCATTAACTTTTTTATTTTTTTTCAGTGCTGATTTAAATTATCCGAGCAAAACGAACAACTTGAATTTTCAAACACATTTTTCTCAAATTGGGTTAACATGGAGAAAAAAAAAGAAATCAAAAATTAATTGGAATTTCATCAGAATTAATATGGTGCAATTTTTTTCCCGAAATTTTCAACCAAATTTTTACCCCAAAAATTTCTCATTTAGGCTTTTTTTAATTAATGAAGAATTACGCTGTAAGTACTTTGTTAATTGCTTGGGAATATATGTCACAAGAATCCTCTTACACAGCCCAACAAAGTTCTACAAAAGTTAAATCTCCAAAATGTGAGTAAATTGTTTAAAATTTGTTTTTACGCAAAGTTTTTGGGTTTTATTTTGTAACATTCACGTTCTTTGAGTATCAACATCAACGTTCTTTGAGCCAAAATGATCCACTTTTGGGGTAAAGTTTGGTTGAGAATTTCGGAGAAAAAATTGCACCATATATTGATGAAATTCTAAGCAACTTTTGTTTCCTTCATTTTTTTGTATTATCTTAAGCCCATTTGAGAAAAACGTGTTTGAAAGTTCAAGTTTTAATCGTTTTGTCCGGATAATTTAAATCAGCACTGTATGTTCTAACTTTTTGCAAGACTAAGTAGAGAGTTGCAAAACTTGAAGACAGACAAAATTAATTAAAAAGACAAAATGACTTATTTCAGGGAACTTTCTATGCAAAAGATATTTTTTCAGACAAAAATCGTGACTCTAGGTCAGCTAAAAACTCAAATTTGCATGCATATAGGCCATTTGCTCTTGTCATAGTTAATGCCAAATTGTTGGCAATATTTGTGACCTTGGGCAGTTTGATCGGTCAAAACTATAGCATTTTGGGTTGATTAGTTTTAGGGAAACTGTTTTTCTTGTGTAAACTAGCAACAAAACTGCTCGTATCAGGGCGAGGCCCCGAATGTTCCAACTGCCTTTTAAAGTCTATGGAGCTGTAAGAACACGAAAAATTGAATGTAAAAAAATGAAATAACATGAAAAACTGAGTATAAGTTTGTTTTCTTAATTTCAAATCATTCCCCACACGCCATATAAAATACAAAGTGATAGGTTTTGCTCCAATAAACAAATCAACTATGGCAAATAAGCTTCCTTCCGCTAATTTGGAACGGTTTCAAAAATGGATTAAATCTCCGATTACGGGTTAATAGCGCAAAATACATCGCTCGTTAATTGTCCCAAATTGGCCAAAATGGCTATCTTTAAACCTCTATTACTTTACGAAAATTGATCATAGGTGAAATATTTTTTTTTCAAAATTAATCTCAAGGCAACAATACCTTTCAGAAGATATTAAAAAAACCCGCTAAAAATGGCTAGTTAAAAAGTCGAAAATTGTCTGAAGAAAAAAAAACCCACCCCGAACACAAATATTCCGTTACTTTCGTTACAAAAGTCGGAACAATCAGAAGAAATTCGACTTCAAATTAAGATTTTTAGATAAATTAACTTCGTTCAGATTTGTTGAACGAAAAAATATTGCCAACAAACAAATTGGCATTAACTTTATCCGAACTTTTTGCTACTAATTATATGCTGAAAATTGGCAGATTGCTTTTTTAAATTATTTCTGTCGGTTCCAAGTTTTTGCTACTAAATTATACTTGAAGAGTTTCAAAAAGTTTGATTTTGAGCTTTGCAGTCAATTTGAACAACATTGAGACCTTGAGGCATGAATTCTGTCTGAAAACATAGCAAAATGTATCCGAATGGATCAATAGCTTATTTTAAATAATTTTGTCTCTCCGAATTTTTTTATTTTAATTACAGTATTGAGAATACAAAGCTGCTCCACATTCATTTTTTAAATTAATTCCACCTGCTCTAAAAGTTAGCAACCGTCTATACCCAATCTGCACGAGTGTAATTAGCAAATTAGCAACATACTTGGACCATTCCTCTCCTAATCCGACCGCAGTTTTGTCTTATGGTAATAATAAAAACTTATTTTGAGTAGTTTCTTTCACGCCGACATGTACAAAATGCATGATAACTTGATAGATTGACCATGTTTTTACATAGATAGCAACAGGTTTTTACTTGATCTACTATTTTTAATATAACAATCTTGAGGCTAATATGGTCTAATTTTCTACAGCACCAAAATGTATTAATTTTGAAAGCTTGGCTTTTTCAAAAATCAAATCCAGTTTAGACAGGTGAAAAGCCGCGAGTTCAACTCTCACGAGCGTTTACACGCTTTAGCTTTGTCATATAAGCAACAGCTTTTTTGTTCAGCTTGGTTTGGAATTTGATTTTTGGTTGGTATTCATTTTGCACAGCTAATAAAATCAGAAAAGCAACAGATTCTGGTCTTACTTTTGGTTGCATTATTTTGGTTAACAAGTACCGCTGTTTACAAAAAACTGCAGCCTGACAGTTGGTTTTGATTAAGCGTTCTGTTCTGTAATTTTCGATTAACCAGGGCGAAATTGTCAATTGAAAAATCGTACCAATTGGCCACTCGGAATTCCCAAGAATGAACGAAAGCAAATCGGCATCCACAATGTTGTTGAGAGCAGCGCTTGTTCTGCAACTTCTATTTGTGAGCTCTGTGTTCGGAAATTTATTTGAAACGCACTACAAAACCCTGCTCGGCAATTTGGCGGGACAATCTTTGGAGGATGTTTTTGATGGCATGAGCGTCGAAGAGTTGGAACACAATGCCGAAAGCTTCACAGAAACGGTAATAAAGGCGACCAGCCTATAAAAAGGTTACGACAGTGGAATGCGCAGGAATTTGGACACATGGACAGAATTAGTCATTTTACTCTCAATATTGCCTAGTCATTAGCGACAATTTATAATCAGCGACAATTCGTTACAGGCGACAATTTGTAAGAAGCGACAATTCGTAACAATAAAGTAGCAGGCAAACTTTAATTTATGCGCAAAATTCCTCATTTTGTACAAATTTTATCTGGAAAGTTAACAAAATTTTTAGATTGACAGAGGGAAAATTTTCTTAGCTACCCTCTGCGAAATTAACTTATGGTTTCAAGCACTCATAGTCTGAAAACATCAGTTTTTAATGCATGGAATACGTTTTCCAAATGCGTCAAATCCAACATTCTCAGCAAAAAATTTTCATTGGTCAGGGATATCCGTCTTTCTGAAACGACTGTTTAGTACAGTTTCGCGCCTTTGTAATACATACTACCTACATTAAAAACTGGTTTTCCGACCCGGAGTAAAAACAGTAAATGCTTGAAACCGACATTTGATATTTGTGCAGACGGTAGCAGAGATCATTTATTGTTAGGTTGAAATAAAAAAATTAATTGATATTCCAAGTACAAGTTGTCCAAAATGGTTCAAGATGAAAGGTAATTTAGAGAGTAAAAGCCGTTATTTGCCTTTAATTTTTTCCGCTAAAGTACGTTTACCCAGATAATTTTTTGAGAAAAGCCGAAAACATCATATTCAATTTTAGAAAAAAAAGAAATCTGATTGGCTAAAAAACGAACTCGAAAAAAAACCTTTAACTTTTTGGAAATTTTTCCTACGTCCTTTTTACCGCATTTATTTGACTGCCTTGAAGATACTTTTTTTGGTCTCAACTTATTTCAATCAAGTGATCAAAAATCATTCAAGTGATCAAAGGTGTCATTTCTAATAATTGATCAGGCAATTTTTTTAAAATGTTTCCGGAGATATAATGAATAAAAAGACACTAGGTAGAGTAAAATATATAAAGTTTTAAATTCATGTCTCCCCCACAGCTAAAAATCAGCTGAAAACATATAAATTGGTTGGCGTTGGTAATTAATAGGCTTGAGCAACTAAATTTTTCTGGAAACACGGCAATTTTTATTTAAAATATGGAAAAAAAACTTATGTTTCTCAGTTTCTAAGTTTCTGAAAACCAGTAGTTTAATTAGTTGAGTTTAGTGTCTAAATGAGACTGACCTCGAAGCTGTTTACACAATTGCCGACACTTCTTCTCTGACAGATGCCGAGTTAGTCGAACTATGTCCCGCCCTCCTCTACCGAGCCCTAGTTGCTGCCGAGTGCGCCCATGATGACCACGATGACCATGACGGGGAAACCACTGGCTATGGCTACACTTATGGATCCCTAGCTGTTTTGATAATCAGTCTCTCTCCGGTGCTGGGCCTTCCGCTCGTTTTGATAAACCGCAATTCAATCGTGCTGCAGATGATCATTCAGTTTTTGATAGCTGTCGGTGTTTCGGCACTGGCTTGCGACTCTCTACTCCACTTATGGCCTGAGGTTAGAATCATTTCGACATTTCACCGTCAAACATTTTCGCACGCATTTTGACTCTCGGCTTAAAACGCGATTGCATTATTTGTTGGTTTTGTAATATCCTTGTATTGATTTTTTTCTCTGGATTTGTTTTGCGTTTTTTCGACAGGAGGGTTTTGAATGTTCACCTCTGATTGGCTAATTTTGTGTTTCTAACAATCAACCTTTCTAATAATCTGAACATCACATCAAGTATGGGAACATTTTATACACTAAAAATTATAAAGAAAAAAATAATTTCAGACACGCTCAATGGCAGAGTGAACATAAAGGGTTTTGCCCTGATTCGAGTAGTTTTGTTGATTGTTTCAGGCGGTGGGTCTTCATGGACACGGCGAGGAAGGCCACGACGAGCACGCGGGCCATGGCGAGGCTGAGACTGAGGGTGGCCATGACAGGACATACTTGTGGAGGACAATGGTCCTTGTGATCACAATGTATGCATTCTACCTGTTCGAAACTCTCTTCTCGAAGATCTTTCACCATCATCACTCCCACTCAGTTAATCCAGTAAGCTGCGTTTATATAAAAGTCTGAACACATTTTTACCCCCTTATACTTAGAGGATTCCTTCACCACTTAAAGACTGTTTCCTTCTCAAATCCCACGCAAAAAAAATTGATATTATTATGAATATGAACCAAATCTGTCAAATTCGAAACGTGTCATTTATTTTGAGGGGAGGGGGGGGGGGGGGCGAAGTGCGCGAAAGACGTTCTGACAAAAGTTCTTCAAGGCATAATATCATAAAGCATTGAAAGTAAAATGTGTTTTTTTTTCAGATGGAGGAGACAAGTAATCTACCAGGTATATTTTTCGCCATTCACCATTCAGAATAGAAAACAGAAAATTTGTATCTCTGCACTGACAGAAATTTAATAAACAATTAATTAGTTTTTTTTATGTAATTGATTTAGATAGTTTGGGTGGAAAAAATACAGAAAGCGGAACATCTTCCAAAGCTTCCAGTCAAATAGAGGTTAGATAATTTTCTGCTTACGGAAAATTTGACGATGATTGTTCTTCTGACCAAAATGTTTTGAAAAATGGTTAGGATTTTGTATTCGGGTGAGTTTTTTTGTTTTCCACGCAAAATCAGGTACTACTAGTAAACATCGGACAAGCTTGAGTGTTATTTGAACAACATTTAAATTTTCCAAAACACTTTCCCAGTGTGGAGAAATAGAGGTCTGAAGTGTTTGATAGTTCTCCGAACTTTGAGTGAGAAAAGCCAGCGAGCACGCTTATTTATGTAGTGAAACTTAAAATACCTTTTTATGCTTAATTGAAGCCGTACGTATATTTTTTTACTCGAGTAAAATAAATGTTAGGAGCCTTTTAGCGTCATTTTGGAAATCAAAAACTTGAGAAAATCAAAAAATATCTGGAAAAAAAAAATTGAATTTTTTAAATTATTTTTTTTTGTTTTTGTAATTCTTTGCTACTTGCGCAGTAACCGGCTACTCTTGTTTTTTTAATAATTGAATCGTATTTTAGTTAACTAAAGAAGGCTCAAGGATCTGTGGAATTCCGAACGGTAAGTGGAGTTTTGTTATGTACCATATATGATCTAAGTGACACTCAATGATTTATTTTGATTTCACTGTGGCGCACAATCAAAAAAATTTGGATTGAACAATTGCTGAAGCAGCAATAGCAAAAAAAAAATTGAATTCAAATTTCTTTTATCCATGGAAATCAGAAAGACAAAACAATTACTTGGAGTTGAAGGAATTGCCATTTCAAAACCTTCAAAAGTAAGAAATTTCGAAATAACTTTTCAGTCAAACAATTCTGAACGTTATTGTTAGATAATTGATTATTCAACTAAAAATGCGACAATTTTTTTCAGCAATTGCAAATTTAAGTATCTACAAGTAAAATGTCAGAAATTTAGTTCATTTGTGATTCCAGCCCGTGTCTTTCTATTTAACCAAACTTTTAAGTTTTTTCCAAAATTCGTTCAATTTGATAACTGTGCTTTTGCTTTTTGCACACCAATTCTTTGTAAAACTCGATGAACATAGTTCAGACTCTTAAATAGGTGCCGATGAAGATTTTTTCCAGGAAAATCTTAAAACTTGATTAGGCTCAATTTTACTTTTTAACGGTTTGATTTATTATGTTTTCAAGTTCAGTTCAATTCATTGGTTCCAATAAAGGCAAAATCCGCTATCGAACAGCAAAAGTGTAAGGGTCACGAAAAACGTGATCGACTTCTAATTTCGAAAATGGAGTCTAATTGTCAGTTTTTCCAGCGAAATAAACCATTTATTTATTGATCCAGTGTCCTCAAATTGCGTTAATTTAACCAAAAAGTGTCAACTGTAAATTGATCAAGAAATTCAAAGAGCTAAGGGCATCTATTATTTTTTTTTTGTAAAACTCGAAAGTCATTTTTTTTCTTTTTACTTGGGTTCATTGTCTCTTTTCCAAATGTCTGTTGGCTATGTTTTGTATCGGTGTATGAGTCTAAAACGAAAATTTGCTGTTATAAAGCAGAATTTGCTACTTAAGTTTATTTAATCAAGAAATAAAGATGTCAGTTCACTTTAAAAACTTCCTCTTTATGAATTTTTCTTTGTTGTTTTCTTAAAATTTGTGGAAATTTTATTGCCTAACTGTAGATAAATTTGTGACTGCCATCACCATCTCAGCCGGGGATTTCCTCTGCAACTTCGTGGACGGAATGGCCATCGGAATAGGGTTCCAGTCCTCTGGCTCCTCCGGGTTCTCCTCCGCCATAGCCGTGTTTTGCCATGAACTACCCCAGGAGTTAGCCAGCTTTGCCCTTCTTCTCGACATGAGTGAGTCATCTGCTGAGTACTAGGATATTTCTTGTTCGAACTTAACTCATGAGCTGAAGGAGTAGAAATCCTGGGGAGGGCTGGGGCAAAAGCGGTTTGCTGAAATTGTTTTTGTATAAGGGTGCATGAAAAATTTGCAGCTGTTTTTTTTTTGCTGACAGAAATTTTCATCAAAAACTCATATTAGTCTAACAAAAAATAAAATGAATTATAACGCTAGGTCCCTTAAAAATTAGAATTCCTACCAAAAATTATTTTAAAAAATTTTTGTTAAATAGTTTTCTATCTTTGAATCATTCACAAGAAATAGCAAAATGTTTTTATTTAAATCTGTTATTTTATACCCACTATCAAGCTACACCGCGAAAACATTGCATAACATAAGTTGGAAACTATAGTTTAATAAATTTAATGTCATCATTAAAACGAATAATTGCTTAATTGTTCAGAGTTGCATCTGGTGGCTATCCTTGTCCTCAATCTGTTCTCTGCGTTGGGTGCATTCATGGGTCTCTACATTGCATCTGCCCTGTCAGAGTATGACCAGTTCATGGGCTACATGACGGCCATAGCAGCAGGCGCATTCCTCTACATTGCGTTCATGGACATGGTACATATTCAATTCCAATAAAACACAAAACTAAATTAGAATGTCTACCAATCAAAAAATCATATCTAAAGGAGAAACTGAGTCGTAAACTCAGAAAATATCTCGGAGGTAATCAAAAATCGTCGTTTTATTTGAAGTCTATGCCTTGATGCGCCCACTTGAAGTCAATTTTTTCAAACATTGATGAACTGCTTGTCGAAAGGAGGCGAGATTGAGGGGCGAAGACGAAAACAATATCAAAAAATATTATGAAAAAAAGCTTCGTTGCCAGATTGAAACCCCTTTTAACTTCTAAATTAGACTTCAATCCGTGTATTCAATGCCCGCGACGTAATGGAGCTGCACCTTTCTAGCAAAAGTATCAGTTCTTAAAAACCACATGTCAAGTCAAATTATTATTTCAAATTTTGACGTGATTTATTTTCAGTACCCTGAGATGCTTTCTGCTGAAAGCAAACAACCCTGGATCTTGTACATCGTGCAGAACATAGGCCTGATCATAGGGTTTGTCATTCTGCTTCTGATAGCGCTCTATGAAGAGGACATCGGCTTTTAATAGACCAAACTGCACCAAACTATGATGACTGTTTAACCTTGATGTTTTTATATTGCTATTCCCATATCTGTAGTACCTTGCTCAATTGTAAATTGCACAATAACTCATTTGACAAACAGAATATTTCTATTTTTCACAAATTGTGTCCTTCCTGACTTTTGGGAAAATAAATCAATGTTTGTCTTTTTGTTTTAAATGATTCGAATGCTATGCTGTCATCCCGCGTAATTCCACATCAGCACAATTTAACTCGAAAGTTATCCTTTTTTCAAAGATCACTGAAAGTGTTCGTCAAAGTGTTTACCGTGGTTGTAGTTCACCCGGGTTGACCTCCATAGACCTCCATAGACCAAAAATATTAATCATACAACTCCATAAACTAAGTCTATGAAAAAATACTAGTCATACACACTTCTTATTTTTTGCTAGAATGGTTTCATCGAATTATCAAAGAAATTTCTTCCTGTTTTAGCCTCAAATTTTTTTTGTTTTTTTTTTTCAACCGCAAATTGAATGTTGTACTTAAACGTTTTCCAAAAAAAAAGTTTTTTTTTTCGCATGCAAAACTTAATTTTTTGAGCATAACGTAGTCATGGATACACAAAAATGTGATTTTTTTCCGTTTCTCTGAATAACTTTTTTTTCAAAAACGCTAAAAATTTATTTCTTCTGTACGGAAAATTAATGTATGTCTTGCCCAATGTCTGATAATGAAAAAATACAAATTTGGAAAATAATCATTTGTGAAAATTTTCGCATAAATTGAAGTTTGATGCTTTCAATTATTAATTTTATCCAATTCAGGTCGGTTCTAATGCAGTGTGATTGTGAGACGATCAAACCTTTGGTCCTTTGGTGACACTAGTTTTGAGTAAGCCATGGTTTTTTTCATTTGTGTTCAGTCACGAATACGTTCAATAATTGCGAGACATTCAACTTCAGAAAAAAAATCACTTTTTTTGGGTTAAGGGAAAATGGTAGTCATACAACTTCCATATTCAAAAATCAGTATTCATAGACCTTTCGTGTAGGTTTCTGTACTTATGGAATTAATTGCTGATTTTGGAAAAGTCTTTCTGATTTTGCAAGCGCCAAATTTTCAACTTTCGCTGATTTTGCGTTGCCTAGTTTTTCACCTCAAATCGAGGCAACTGCTCAAATTCTGGCCCCATTGGCACTATTAAAATATCAATGAAACTCTTTAAAAAAATTGATTTCTTGGATTTCGATGGACATTGTAGTCAACTCATCAAAATCATTTGTGAAACGGTACTTTTCTTAAGATTTTTCATCAGCTATGAAGAAACTAAAAAGTTACCTAATTTGAGCTCTAAGTGAACTATAGCTTCGGCGTAAGAAAATTTTGCTCAGAAACCAAAACACATAACCCCAGTTTTTACTCTGATATTAATTGAGGTTTTTGAGATTTTTGGGGTTAATACTTTCGGCCATTCATCATCATCATCATCATCATCATCATCATCATCATAATTTGATTTTGTCAACCTTATTTGAAACTCAAAGGTGAGAGAAATGTCTTCGGCCTTGAACTAGACTTGTTATCTTTGTCTGTCTGGCGAGTCTTTGGCCCTAAGCTACGCCTGTTTTAGATGTCTGCTGGATAACCTTCTAACTTGAGCTAAGTCTGCCACGTTGTTATATCTTCGGCCTCGATCTAGGCTAGTTTATTTCTGCTGCCGAGAGCCTTCAGCCTAGAGCTAGGCCTGTGATGGATGGATGTCATCAGTGCTCCTATGATGGCGGTATCTGAATCTTCTGTGATTGTAGCAAGGGACTTTCAGTTCCTTCGCTAAATCTTGATGCCAGCCGTTTAGTGCTTTTACAATGCTGTAACTATCCCTTCTGCTCGTTAGTTCCATTAATCCAACATTTTACCCGTGAAATTTCAATTAACGAATCAGATAGTACATTTGATCAGCAGTTTCCACTGGTCCCATCAATCATCGATTCTCTCGATCGAAGAGGTTATTGGTGCTTCCCATGACTTTTATGATATTGCACCCGAGTTTCTGATATCTCTCAGAACATTTTCGCTCCATATCGTGGAGATGGCTCCACTTGGGCACAAAATAGTGATTGTATTCTTCACGCGGTTGGTAGAAACATAGATCATTCTCCGAAACGTATGATAGACAGGATCCATTTCTTGCATGTTTCTTTGATACTAAATCGTTTAACTAGAATTTCATCGACGACATCGAAGTCTATTGTATCAAATACAGCAGATATATCCAGACCAAGTACTCATGACTAGGTTATCTCTAATCAGATGAGTAAGAATTTCATTTGCTGTCTTCAGCAGGTATGTTTCCGTTGAATGAAGAGCCCTATAAGCGGATTGGTTAGGGTCAATTAACTTTTCGTTCTCATGGTGAAGTTTCAGTTGAACAGCAGCAACCCGCTCCAGCAACTTGGATATTGTGTTAGTGTTAGCTACTAGTCTGTAAATGTTCAGCGATTCAAGATCTAGGGTTTGTTTTTTCAACTTTGGATTAATGCTAGCTATTTTGAGAACCTCTGGGTATACGCCGGTTTCCAAACTGCGATTAAATAGTTTTGGGGATGAAATGTTTTAAGGCAAACAAAATTGATTTCAGATAAGATGTTAGAATGTAAATTAGCAGGCAAGTACTATTTGACGAGGTTGTGGTAGTAGTGTCAAGATCTTCCATAGTAACAATTCGCAAGATTAACAGTTCAGCTTCACTAATTGTTGTGATAAACTTATTAAATAGTCTTTCTTTGTTCAAATTTACCGCTTGTGTGTTTTCATATCATAGCAGTTTCTACTGGTCCCATCAATCATCGATTCTCTCGATCGAAGAGGTTATTGGTGCTTCCCATGACTTTTATGATATTGCACCCGAGTTTCTGATATCTCTCAGAACATTTTCGCTGCATATCGTGGAGATGGCTCCAGTTGGGCACGAAATAGTGATTGTATTCTTCACGCGGTTGGTAGAAACATAGATTATTCTCCGAAATGGCTGTCTTTTGCTTTCAACAACACAGCAGTGATTTGCAAGTGATCGTCGAATATCACGAATACGGTTTTTGCGTAAATTAACAGTCTGCATTATTTCTATAAGCATGGAAGCAAACCTTTCATTAATTCCACTACTCTACACGCCATTTGCGTTCTCAAAAAGGTATGTTTTCAGCGTTCGTTTGAAAGTATAGTGATCTAAAATTCTCCTGAACTCAAGTGGAGCGAATTACACTGTTCGGGAGCAAGTACTGAGAACGCACCGTTTCCGAATGATTTTCTTGCTATCTGCAATTCTGCTTTGAACATATAAGGTGTTCTAGTTGTGTTGCATTGCCGTTGAAATGAGACCATACCAAACAAGTAAGTTGAGATTTCTATATCGTGTAGTTTTTTGTGCATTAGAGTTTTTTGTGCAACCTCTGAGTATACGCCCGTTTCCACACTGCGATTAAATAGTTTTGGGGATGAAATGTTTCCAGGCAAACGAAATTGATTTCAGATAAGATGTTAGAATGTCATTTAGCAGGCAAGTACTATTTTACGAGGTTGTGGTAGCAGTGTCAAGATCTTCCATTGTAACAATTTGCAAGATTAACAGTTCAGCTTCACTAATTGTTGTGATAAACTTATTAAATAGTCTTTCTTTGTTCAAATTTACCGCTTGTGTGTTTTCATATCATATGCGGGCTGGGCTTTCCTCTTCTGGTTATCTTACCAAATCTCGCCGTCCCAGCCGTAGGCGAGTGAAGTTTCCCTGGCGTAACTAGACGCAAGAAGGAGTGAGCTGCTGAATCGACCTCCAAATCGAAGTCAAGTTGTACCACTCCTTTTTTTTCTTTTTTTTTCCTAAGTGAAAGTATTCATAAATTACCCCAAAGAGCTTCCTTTCTCGCCCCAGTTGTCTGCGTTTCAGTTTGATGCCGCGGTTCCAGGCAAGACGCATCCCTGAGTTCTCACAGAAACTAGTTATCGGGACCTCAAGGACCAAATATATCAAACCAGCTCTAGTAAAATCAACAATTCACTCCTACCGCGGCGCAACGCTTCATGATCTGTTTGAAACAGTTTTACAAAACAGACCAAAGCGCCGCCTAAATACAGTAACAATAGTTGCTGGATACAATGACAACAGGCTGCATCCACAAGAATTAGAACAGCTGTGGAAAAACTTGATTAACCTCGTCACTAACAAGTTTCAGCCCAAGAGACTGATCATCCCCAAAACAATTCAGAATTGTAATAATTCCGAAGTAAACCGCAAAATTTATATTCATAATCATGTGCTGTTTAATTTGATAAATAGATTTGTACACCCCCCTACACTTATTGTTTCACCTAACCTCAACCTAAATCTAACCCCTCAAATTTTCTGCCGTGATGGCATCCATTTCTCCTTCTACGATAATGATTTCTTTACAAATTTTCTTGCAAATTTAATCTATAGTTTCTCTCGCTAACTTGACACCGCCGTCCTTCCTAAAAAGGCTACTTAAACACACTGCCTTATTTGTAAAAACAACCTACGAGTCGGAGGTGTTTGGTGCTTCACATGCCCAGGCTACATGCATGTAAAATGCAGCGGCCTAGCCCGCAGCAGTGATCACTATGACGATTTCAGTTGTCATCGCTGCACCTCCCAACTTCATTCAGCTAACGACAAGCATGAATGCAATACCCCAACCCTAGCTACAACCACGCTCCCCCAAATGCACCCTCACGCTCCCACTGCTCCACACTCACAAAACTCAGGAGATTTTTCCACTATAGAACCTAGAACAATACAAGACCCATGGTCAAACCCCTGTCCAGAACTCATAGAAACCACCAGGAAAAAACACACCTAAGTGGTCCACTGGAAACCGGTCTTTATGATCTTGTCAAAAAACAAAGTTGGTTATAACTTCATTGAAACCCTCAATAGAACTTTGAAGAGCCTAATAGAAAACAACGAAAATACCTTCGCAATGCACGCAGCAATGATTTTTTTACACTTATTACTGTGCAAAACAAAGTCCAAAAATGATGGATCTTTATCCAAAACAAAAGCAAGGCGACTTAAGCAATGGCAAGACGGAGACCTGCATGGACTATATAAGAAGCAAAGGCACTGCAAATGCGCTTGTTGAAAGGAAGTAGAAGAAAAACTGAAACTGAATCACAACAGTTCAACAAACTAATGAATACTGGAAAAATATCAAGCGCATTTGCAAAACTAACAGACACATCTAAAGGCGTTTTTTCGCTTGACGAGGTTGTCAAAGGTAAGACAGTGGAACATACTCTCATAGAGAAACACATACCATATAAACGAATTGATGAGAACCATATTACACCAGTCTCAACGAAACAATTCCTTTCCATCCATCGATATTTGATCAAATAAACGATCAACATATCAAGAAGGCAGCCATGAGAACGCACGGATCGCATGGACCATCTGGCCTCGATGCAAATGAATGGAGACGTATTTTAACACACTTCGGGCAACAATCAGTTGAGTTTTCAAAAACAATTGCTAAAATTGCCAAAAAAATTGGCCACCGAAGAACTAAATCCATAACTAATAGACCCATATAACGCATGCAGATTAGTACCCTCAGATAAGAATCCTGGGGTAAGAACCATAGGCATAGGAGAAGTTATGCATAGGATAATAGGGCGAACAATATCCAAATGCCTAAAAAACGAGCTCATGTCGCTCGGTTCGAACTACCAACTCTGCCTAGGACAAAAATTTGGCATTGAATATGCGATCCACACGCTAAGAGATCAATACAGCAAAGCTTCCGCCGATGCTGTTTTACTGATAGATGCCGAAAACGCTTTCAACTCGCTGAACTGAAAGCTGGCATTCAAAAACATCGAAAACACCTGCCCTTCTCTTTTAACAGCGATTAAGAACTCCTTCTCCAATCCATCTAAACTGTTCGTTAACAAAAAAACAGTCTACTCTCAAGAAGGGACAACCCAGGGGGATCAACTAGCAATCGCCATGTACGGTCTAGCCATAATACCACTCATAAAACTTTTATCAGTAGACGATGTAGCCCAGAAATAAGACGCAGAAGACAAAAACGCAGTCGGTAAATTAAGCAATCTATGAACCGTCCTCGATAAAATTGTATCACTGGGTAAACTTTCCGGCTACCACGTGAAAGCATTCAAATGCCAACTCCTTGTCAAGGATGAAAAACTCGGTGAAGCTCAGAAAATCTTCGCAAATAGAGGAATCACTATAAAAGCAGGAGCCCGAGTGCTTGGTTCAGTTATAGGAACAGAATTTGAATGTAAAAAGTTCCTCGAATTTCAACAGAATGAGCAAATCAAAGTTTTGAAAAAACTAACGAAAATCACCAAAAACTCCCCTCAAAACGTTTATGCCTGCTATACTAAAGGAGTTCAAGAAAAACTTTCATTTCTTGCCAGGACAACGCCTAACACTATGGAAAACTTAGAAATATGTGAAAATATTATCAAAGAACAATTATTACCTAACCTAGTCGGTAAAGACATTTTAAACCCCCAGTTCCGTCAGATATCCTCCTTACCCCTTAAAATGGGCGGACTTAACATCCGGTTGCCATCCAATCATGAAAGCTACCTAGAATGGTCTAAGGAAACATCACTAGTACTGGAATCTCAAGATCCTATTACAGCAGTAACACTGTTAGAAAAAATATGTACGAAAATCAAAAAATTGAAAACTGACAGAGCAAATTGAAAAAAAACAAACCTCATTAACTCCTTAAATGAAATAGATAAAAACGTAATCGACCTGGCCTCTGAAAAAAGAGCCTCGAACTGGCTCAATGCTTTACCACAGAGCAGATACAACTTCAACCTGAATAAACCAGAATTCAGAGATGGTATTTACTTAAGATACGGATGGGAACCAACCAAAACCCCACTCACATGTGCATGTGGTGCTAATTTTAACTTGACACATGCGCTTCACTGTGCAGAGGGTGGTTACACACACATAAGACACAAGGAAATTAAAGACACATTCGCCAACCTCATGAACGAGGTTTGCCGTGACGTCGAGATTGAGCCGAAACTTCAGCCGTTGCAAGGCGAAAGCTTTGTCAACATTTCAACTACAACTGAAGATGAGGCACGACTTGGCATTAAGGCAAACGGACTCTGGGTTCACGATTCGGCCGCGCTTTCTTTGATGTGAAAATTTTCAACCCCCATGCCAAAAACATCGCGAAAACTGCATAAGGATGCATACAAATACCACGAAACGCTGAAGAACTCTAAATATCAGCAAAGAATTTTAAACGTAGAGCAGAGTAGCTTGTGCCCGCTAATTTTTGGATGCACCGGTAGCGCTGCTCCAATATCCACGAGGACGATGCAGCGATTTGAATTGAATTGAATTGAATTGAAATCGCTTTGAATTGAATTGAGTTTCACAGCAGTCTGGCAGAGAATCAACTATGGGTCAGGAGCTCGACATCTGTAATAGAGTATATGAAATAGCAACGTACAACATGAGGAGGGTGTACGTCACAGTCAAGAAGTACAACGTGAGCAAGCCACCCTACATTCAGATTCGACTCTTCACTGCAAAGGAAAAAGAAGCTTTGAAGCAATTTGCATATGTCAACTATACTTTGAATTAATTCAAAGAACTGTTCCAAATATTGGGAGAATTTATGTTTGTTGATAATTGTAAACCTCAGTAAGGCTTTGTGATGTTTTGCATGTTTGGTAATTGAGATATTATTTGTTCAAAACTATTTTTTCTCACTAAAGTGTATTTTTAGAGCTATAATATCTCAGGAAAAGTTAGACAAAACATACAATTTGATCGAAATTGACATAACACACTACCCAACTATCAAATGATTTTCCAGTATTTATTTATGAAATTACAGATAAACTTATTTAATAACTGTTTTCATCTAAATTTAGCTAAGTTTTGCCTCAATTTAAGAAAATTACAAACAAGAATGTATATTTAGTTGAAAACATTATCATTATTTTGTTTAGATTTTTTGAAATTCATTGGTTGTTTTCAATTTTTTTCTGCCTTAATTTGAGGTTTTGATTGGCTCCATGAATTTCCTTGAAACTAACTAGACTTTGACTTTACGGTGATTTTTACTACAAAATATTTTAAAAATGATAAAACAATTCGAGTTTTTAAAGTTTCTTCGTATATTTCAGAAAGAAAAATGTTTCCATCAAAAACGTTTTTATTGTCTGAATTGAACATTTATCAGATTTTAAAATTGAACTACTACAAAACTTACAAGAGTGGTGGATAGATGAAAATGATGGAGATTGTATTAGTTTTAACTTGTATAAAAACACAGAAAGTTCAATAGTTTTGTTAAAAAGATGGAGAGGAGATTACAAAAAAGAAGAGTACTGTCAGATTTATCAACAATGTTTTTATTTAGAAGAGTTAACTCAGATTGAGTGGTCGATCACTAAAAAACAAAACAATGGAAGAGCCTATGAAACAAAAATTGGAGATCAGGAACATCAATTCGATTACTGTTTTGAATTTGATACAAATACAAAATCCAGATTTGTCAAAATATCTTTTGATCGTTTATCCAAATTTAAAAGACTTCCGATTGTTTAAACTACAATATACCAAAAAGAAAACGATAAAAACGTATACTTTGGTAATTTTTTTTTCACTGGTTAGAAATAGAACAAATCGAAAAAATTTTGATCGAAATTTCAAAATTTGAATTGAATATCGAAAAAACAATATAAACTAGACAAGAAATCTCATTTATCCCACTAGGGTATCAAACTTCAAATCTTAGTTATGTTGGAAAAAATCATTAAAATTTATTGATTAAGAAGTTTCATAAACATAGTCTGGTTCTGATCTACAACATTTTTTAGAATCTGTGAATACTTCATTCTGATTGGTTATTAACACAAATAACGCCTGTGAAAGTATCCTCATAATCTACAAATTTTAAAGAAACTGTTGAAAAATTCATGAGAAGAAGAGCTCGACTTTGATTGGTTGACTTAAAATTTCTTGAAAATTTCATGACTTTTGAAGCTCAATTCTGATTGGTTGACCTTGAATTTGTTGAAAATTACATGACTTTTGAAGTTCAATTCGGATTGGTGGACATTGGTTTTGTTGAAAATTACCTGACTATTGAAGCTCGATTCTGATTGGTTGATATCAGAAAAGATGAAAATTTCCTTGTAATTAATGCTCGATTCTGATTGTTTGATACTTTTAAAAACTCCATGGTTAGATTGGATGATTTTTATTTCATCTAGGCCAAATAGCATATCCATTCTGATTTTCTTTCACGTTAAAAACAATTGGTTATTAAGTTCATTTTTCCATTTTTTGAGGCTATTCAACTCATCTTATCTAAAAAATTGGTACATTTTACATCTCCCATTTAATTTTTCTTTACTATTGAGATGCCGTCAGTGAATAGAAAGGAAAGAGTTACATGTCTTGAATGTGGCATTGAATACACTCACAAAGAAGCGTCAAGACATCGTAAAACATGCGGTGTTTTGAAGTGTTCTAACTGTAATTTTTATACTTATAGCAGCGAGGAACTCGCTAATCATTTCAAGAAGAAGCATTTTCAGCATAATGTTAAAATATGTGCTCAGCAGTCTCCAAACACACTTCAAGAGAAGGTAACATTTTTAATTTTAAAAAAAAACATAGATGTTACTATGATTATTAGTTTTTACTGAATCTGAAAAATTTCAGCAATTGTAACAAATCTAGTCAGAAATTATACAGTGTTTTCATTACATTACCTGAACTGTCATTTATTTTTTTATTTTTTGATTGATTTTGGTTGATGTTAAAGACGGCAGAAATCGAGTTCAAAATGACGTGAAACTTTCCATGGAACTCGATCCGAAAACCTTTAATCAATAGTAAAAACTTCCTTGGTTACAAGCTTGTAGAGACTTTGTTGCGTTAAATTTGTAGTAAAAGTGCATAACATATGCTAATGAGTAGCTAAATATTTGCTTAAAAGTTGTAAAACTTGGATATTTGTAAAACATCGACTAATTGAAAATTTTTTTGTAGTTACTATTTTAAAGTTTTCCTTGTTTAGTGCTTGTAAAAGTGTTCAAAGAGTAGAGCGTTTTTAAGCAGATAATGGGGTTTGATTTATCAAGAATTATGCTTTTCTATTATTTTTTTTGATGATTTCAGAAAATAAATTGATAAATGACATGGAAAAAATGTTTGTGTTTGCTAAACTTTGAAAATTTCAAGATAAAGATATGGATCATTCTCAACTAAAAATTTACTCAAAAATAAAAATGCAGAGTTCAACTTGAATATACAGTTATGATCTTGAGAAAATCATTTAAAGGCTTTTAGCAAAGGATTTGTGGTTTTATTTCAGCTTCGGATTATTGAACGTTCGTTGAAACTTAACACTTTTCCATCTAAAGTTCAATTTTCAAGAAAAATTTTGTTCAAATTGGAGCAATTTGGTAGATAGTAGAGGAAGCAGAAACTCAGAAAATGCTGATTTGAGATAGAAACTCAATTTATTTCACTAGGAGTCTTGGATAATTTTTCTGAAATTTAGCTTTTAAAGTATATCTTGAGAAAAAAAATCCGACTTAAAAAGTAACAGAGATTTGTATTTATGTGTAATTCATTAGAAAAGTTTGTTATCATTTGATATAATAGGTAAATTTATATGAAAAACTAGATGTTTGAGGATAGTTTTTGTAAAGTATACCCAATCCAACATCTTTTGGAAGTAGATACATGGAACATAAGTCAAAAACTTGCTTTCCAGATCTACATTTCCTTGCTATATACAATACACAATACTACATACATACACAATACTACATACAATATACAACACTATATACAATACATTACTATATTTTTACTATATAGAGTTTTTTTCTTTATAAAATCGGAAAATTACACAATTGTTCCAGTTTGCATCTTGATTTGCTTTGATAAATCAATTTTTTGAGACGCACCACTCGTTTAGAAGTTTTTATATTGTAGATGTTAGGAACTAGGTTCTTTTGCTTATTTCCGGAGATTTTCAGATTATCACTAATAGAACTGCTCCTAATTTGTTCTTAAGTCGTAAAAAAAACAACTTTTTTTTCTCATTTTTTACATTTGTTTTTGAATACTTCAACTAGCAACAATTCTTTCTCACTTGGATATTTTTGAGAAAACTTCCGTTATAAATTAAGAATAAAAAGAAATTTAATAACTATTTTGCAAGAAAAGTGTTAGTTATTGATCCCAAATATTGTATTTACGCTTCCATTGTTTACTGTAGCAACTGAACAAGGGAACCTTGAGGAAGACATTTACAATTTTCATTGTAATAACCAGACGGTATGAGTTCTAACTTCATCTCTGCCAGCAAATTGTTCGTTGAATTGATACTATTTTCCTCCTAAATTCTCCAGTTTTGACTAAATTTTCTTGCAAAGTGTGTTCAATAGTGAAAACATGCATTAAGCAGAAAGCGAGAATAACCATAAAAAACATGAAACGTTTCATCGGAAAATCTTGAAAATTATGTTGCAGAAGCAACAGAGAGATAACCATTAGTTATGAAGAAGATTTTGTTGAATTTGAACCAATATCGAAGAAACTTTTAAGAAAAATTTATCCCATTTTCAGTCAATTTTAGCAATTAACTGTTCAGTTTCCATCATTGATCTAAAATTCATTATTTTTAACCTGAAAAATTTCTCAGAAGTCGTAATTTTTGTACAAATTTGGGTTAATCATTGAGATAAAAACAGAGGAGGAGTTAAATCATGGACTCTGATCTAGAAATTTCGTAGAATATTGCCTTAATCCTATTTCAATTCTCCCTAAACTGGATAAAAAGTTAGTTAATCAACAAAAAAAGGTTGAAAATGGAAAATTTTGGATAGATTCGATTATTTTTTACTATATTTTTTTCAAAAATTACGATTAATTTCACTATTTTCCGGAAGCTTCAATATTTATTCTGCTATTATGAGCTTTCTTTTTAGTGGTTAGGGCATTCTATAGCCCTTTTTATAAATCAAAATTAAGTAAACTTTATCGTATTTCAATAATTTGCGAAAAATACAGTCTGAGCTCAATTTTAAAATCTAAAAGGAAAAGTACGTTTAAAACTAGATCAGAAGCAACAATACTTTAACCAATTGTATTGTTTCAGGTGATACTGAAAATTGAGAAAGAACTTAACAAAGAATTACTAGCCATGATTGAATTCTTACCTCGGTTACTATGATGTTTTTGGCCTTCTGATTATAGATAATTCTTCTAACCTTCACTTGGAAATGCATTCGTCAAGATACATGCGTTTTTGATTATTTCGGGTAATTTATTGGCAGGTTTTGTTGCCTTTTCTGTCTGCTAGCTTGTCTTACCGGTTTGATGCATCGCAACTAGTGCGAAGCTCTGCATCGCCCCTGTGTCAGAAGATCTAGATGATAATTTCAGATATTATTTGGTAAATTATTTTCAATGGGCGTTCTTGGTTTATGGCAACTCCTGGATACTGCGGGGAAACCTGTTCCTCTTGAGTCCCTGCAAGGTCAAGTTTTAGCAGTAGATGTCAGCATATGGCTGCATCAAGCAAATCATGGGATCAGCGGCAGAAACGGATACCTTCAGCTTGTCTTTTCCCGGGCATGTAAGCTGCTGTTCCATGGAATCCGGCCTGTTTTTGTCTTCGATGGCCCAACTCCAGCAATAAAACGCGATTGCATGGGTATGTATACGTGACACATGTTGATCAGTCTAACCGTTTAAGGATTTTTTTAAAGCACAAATCTCAAAATTTTGAACTCTCGGGAGGTGTTTATTTTGCGCGAACTTTTCTCATACTGTTTACACATGCGAGATTAGTGTCATCTTACGAAGTCAATCCTCCTATTCATTCCAATCCTCCTCACTTTGTAGCTTTTTTTTTACTGGCATAGCATTGGCAATTAAATAGCATCTGTTGTAGTAGTAGGTTAGATGTTTTTGAGGGTTCCCACCCTTATGTCAGTCCCTTTTAATGTTGTCGTATCATGCTCATTATATTGCAGCTTTCACATCTGAGTATTCTCCATGAGCATTTGTTCGTCTCTGTGAAGAAATTTTCGAAAAATTGTGCATAGATACGTGTTTTGCTTTCGTTGATGTGGTTTTTTTGTCTCCATTTTTGTCTCCGTTGATTCAGTAATTGTAAAACAGCTTTGTTCTTCTGAAGAAGTTTTCTTCTGTTTTTTCAAGCCCACTTCGTGATTTTCTGTTCTCGCAACGTTTCGTTTGTGGCGTTTATTGATCTGTTCTAAACGTGTCCAAGTCCAATTTGATCTCGTATTGATTTTTGGAAGTCCTATAAAAAGTAATAAGTGGTGTAGTGTAAGGGTAAAATAAGGCAGAGAGGGAGAATGCCGAGGTCGCTTTATTTTTCTTTATTTTCCAATCCCGAATCCAATATCCACTTGGATGCAAGTTTCTGCGCTCTCAGTTTTAAGAATGCTTGCGCTGACCGGAAACCATGTTTGAGACACATAAGTGGCAATGAGGACTACGTATCCCGCGTACGCATTCAACCTTCCTTGTGTACCAGTGACCGTCTCGAGTTAAGTTTCCTTTTATTTGATACAGTGCATTTGGGGTCTTGGTTACTCGGAAACTGCAGTTATCAATCCATGTCAAATGGCTCGATACTATGAGTCCCAGATCTTTTTGGTCTTTACTCCTGCCAAAAAATGAGCGTGTAAGGCAGCTTCCATGTTCCCCCTTTGATGCCAAGAAAATTTTTTTATTTTAGGGGTCATTTCGTTTTCCTCGAGCCATTTCTACATAGTATTCGTGGCAATGTTAAGCACGTACTTTTTTAGTACTATTGCTTTGAAGTCATCTTCTTAACCGTAGCTATATATTTGTGGTAATTCGTCAAGCAGATTATTGATGAACACCAAGAAAAATGCAAAACATTGGTGACCTCTGCAAAATCAAGATTTAGCGCATCTAGAAACAAAGGTAACTGTAGAATTGTTGATATTTTTTTCCGAAAGCCATAATGATATCATGTAATATCTCTTTGACTAGCTTATATATGTCAGGGAAAAGAATTTTTCTCAAAAACTTGAGTCAGCAGCAAAGCAAGCTTATCGGATGATAACAGCTTTCATCGACTTTGTTACCTCCTATAAAATTGAGTGTCACCTGGCTAGTTTTCCTTGAGGTTGGATAATTTTCTTTGTTTAGACAAATTTGGAAGATGAAGGTCAGGGATTTGCATAGCTTTTTGTGACACTTCTTGAGTATCAAGTTTCCAATTTTATCATGGCCATAGATTTATTGACTTCGGTTGCTTCCATGATTGCCTTCAAATCATTTTCCTGGACTTCAATTTTGTTTAATGTTGAAAGTTTGGTTTTGAAGCAAGCACTTTCAGATCTTGGCTTCCGAACACGCTGACAAAATAATCGTGAAATATTTTGCTTTTTTCCTTGTCGTTCTTCGATTTTTCCCCATGTATTTGCCAATTAGTGGTTTCATGGGTGTTTTACAGATGCATTTCAGGTATTTTTGTACCTGGCTAAAACTTTTGAGGACTGCTGCTCGAATTCAATTAGGTAATTCTCCATCGGACTTGTAATTACTTTTTTTTGTTTCTTTATTCGAAAAGGTTTGATTGGTTGAGTTTGTGCTTGTTCCATGGTGTTTAATCGTTTCAGCAGGTTCGAAACATTCAGCTATTTTACACCACAGCCATATATACGACTGCCTTACAAGTTCGTTTGGGTTGCTGCAGAAAGGGGAGAAAAGATCTTTTGCGATTGACGAGTTTGCAGCTTCCCAGTCTGCTTTGTTATTCGTAATCAAAGAGCTTTGAAGAGACGTGTCGATTTCAATGCGTATGATTTGTTCATTGCAATTACCAAGTATGACATCAAGTTGTGCTGCTTTAAACTGTGTCATGTTCGACTCAATCAAATTCTCAAGAATTTCGTTTTCGTACTGGTTTTGCGATGAAATTTTTTTCCAGTTTGCTTCCGAGAAGTTGATGTCACCAATAATTATCAAGTCAGTGTTCTGAGAAAAGCAGATAAGATTGTTAAATCTGTTAGCAAGTTGATGTGACCAGGTAGTGTCCACTGATAAATTCTTTCTATAGATTTGATAATCAGGAGAGATTATATATTGCAGAGCTGGGAACGTCAAAGGTGAGCAATATTTCAGTTAAAGATATAATGTCGAAATTTGCTTGAGTCACTTTGGTTGCGAAGATCATTTTCATGTTTGTCAACTAGACTTCTGTTTTTGAAAACAAGAATTGAGAGAGCAGCTAGTCAATCGTTTTTGCTAGCAGAAGAGGATTCTGATCCAAAATTGTTTTTCTTAGACGCATTTATTTTGGTGAATTTTCAAATGCAATCCAATGATTGTTTTCTGAAACCTCAATTTTGAGATTTATTCTGAGTTTTGCACGATTTATGCCTTGGTCAATCTGCTCTTTTCTACGCTTGAGACAGTCGTTCTTATCTTTCTCCATCTTCAGTGTTTAGTTTAGGACTCGTTGGCCTTGCCGAAATTGTTGAAGTCGTTAAGGTTATGGTAGAATTCAGGATTAGACCTCTGCTAATGCTGCTTCGGAGGTGCCTTTACTTGCTTCGGAAAAGTATGCTTCGGAGGTGCCTTTACTTGCATCGTACTTGCCGCCTCTTCGTTTCCTGTCTTCAATGGACAGAGCTTCGGGATTTTATCAATGGCTACCATGTCATCTAGCATTCTTTCATCAGCTGTTTTTGCTGTCCTGTCAGGTACTTCTCTGACACGGATACCTGCGGTTTGTCTGTGATGTGACTACCGATTTTCCTAGGGCAACGTTTCCCCACGCTATTGCGATCGCTTTTCGGCTGCTCTTCATTCATGTTTTTGATTGCAACAAGGTTGCTTGAGCGTTCCATTTTTTTCAGCCATGTTCATTTGTTATTGCAATTGCGTTATATAATCTTCGAGATTTCCGGTTGTAGGATTGCTGTTTGAAGTCAACTAGCCTTTTTGATCTTTGCACTCATTACAGATGAGAAAGAGACTTGCTTCCATTTTCCCCAGGATTTGGATGCTGCGATAGAACCCGATTCATTCGGTAGTGAAGTAAAAATTCAATGTCACAAAAACAACAAGAAAGAACACTTCCCTTTAATTTTTATAACAGATAACACAGTTTTCTCTGTTGTCGTCACAGTTCAATTAATGTTTACGATAGATGGGTTGTTTTGATATACCATGGGTTGATAGTGTTTGAATGTGAGCGAAGGGTTTTTATTTGGTATCACTGAGGTTTATCTGACTTTTTCTAACTGGCATAATACTGGCAATTATATAGCATCCGTTGTATCTGCTATTTTGATGGCTAGTGCTTGAAGATTGTCAAGCGAGCATGGTGCAGATGCGTGGACGTGAGACTCTTAATCTCAAGTTTGAGGGATCGATCTCAGCGCTAAGTTTTGATCTTGATTTTTTTAAACCTTTTTTTCATACTTCACTATATTTTAGAGCTATTTTTCGCCATTTAATAGTTTGTGTTTACGTAATGCAGCTTCACTTCTTGTGTAAAACTTTTCACTTTTCATTTGTGAGATTTCTTTTGTTTTTTGAAATATATATATATATATATATATATATATATATATATATATATATATATATTTCATAGCGTTGTACAAAAGTGCGGAAGCGTTTGAGTTGAGGGAAATTTTACAAAACTCTGTTTTTGTTTAGAGAAACGTAGAAGGAAGCGGGCTCATGCAATGGCAAATTGTTCTGACTTGCGCAGCGCTGTTTTAACAAACTACCTAAAATCACATATAATTGAATCAACTGACAGTTCTGTAAAAGAAGCGCTGCCTAAACCCAAAAGACTTCCAACTGTCCTCACCAGCGTAACTCCATTCGACGAGTTGTTCAATTTGGGAAGCTCCGAAGAGAGTAGAATAAATATTCGCGACGATGTTAACGAATCTGCGGACGATATTTCTAATTATATCGATGACAATGATGACCTGGAAAATGTGGATGTTGAATCCGAAGAGTTTAAAGCGTTGCCTTTTGAGGTGCAACACGAGATCTTGATGGATATAAGGTAGGCTGCGCGATTTTTGTTTCAAATTTTAGATCTACTTCTTAGTGATTGATAAAAAGATAGTTTTTAGGGAGCTGAAAAAACGGAAGTGTCTTTTGAAGCCTGTCACAATGCCAGAAAAACTGAACGACTTTTCAGACTTCCAGATGAAAAATTTTCTGGACAAAAGTTGCGTTACACAGAAAATCGAAGATGTACGCAAAGACATGAATAGAGATGGTCTAGGAATTTTAGGCTTGGCAAACGTAGACGGGGCCATAATGCGAAAAATAGCATCAGAAGATTCTTCGTACATGGTTTATGTGAAAAACTTACCGAAAACAGGCCAGAACAATATAGAATCTTGGATGGATTTTGAAACCAGTGAAGATCTCATTTCAGTTAAAGTCAACAACGAAGATCAAGCTGGCGCGCCTCTAAAATTAAGTTCTGATGAACCTAAATTGACGCAAATTGGTTTAAATGAAAAACCAAACACATATGAAGATATTAATACGAATAGCGCAGTGTTAAAAGCTGAATTTAACATTAATGAAGTTATGTCCAGATTAAAAATGCCAATTAAAGAAATAAAAATTAACCATTTAGACGAGGAAATTGAAATAAATAAAAATAATGTGATAGAAAATAAAATGAAAAATAATGAAATGAAGACAAATAAGGAATGTGAGAATTCGCAACCCTTTACAAATATAGACTCCTATGATTCTGGAATTTCAACTCAAAGTGAACCATCATCTCAAATACCCTTGGAAACTCAAAGTGACATCGAATCAAGTTCAGAAGACGAATTTGAAGACGTTGAAGTTCTGGCTGGAATGGCATCCATTACAGATAATCAAAACAACCTATCTTCCAAAAACCAAAAATCTAACGAATCAGATTCTATAAGTGATGTAGTAGTAGTCTCAGATGATGAAATTGACGTACCAGAAGCGTCAACTAGGCTAAAAGAAATAGCAACTGGTACGCTAGAACAGCAACAGTCGACGAATATAAATATACGACACATGCCAGAAACGAAAAATGATGTCACCATCAATCCAATAAATGAATTCGAACATAATTTCTTAGTTGATGAAGTAAAACAAACAGTCAACAAAAATACATATCAATTAGAAGACTATTTTCAAGACGACGACAAAAACGTTCAAGTTTCATCAACTTATCAAGCGCCTAGTTTAGTTTTGCCATGGAATTCCCAAGAAGTGATATCCTTGGAACAAGAAGAGCTTCGATTGGTACGTGAACTTGAAAAAGAGGAAAATCGTGCAACTACTGTCACAGAACTCATGTACGAGCAGTGTCAAAAGCTACTTAAACTCTTCGGTCTCCCATTTATAGTAAGTCCAGGCGAAGCAGAAGCTCAATGTGCTTATCTGGACTCAATAGGGCTGGTCCATGGATCCATAACAGATGACAGCGATGTCTGGCTTTTCGGAGGAAAGACGGTGTATAAAAACTTCTTTGAGCGTGAGAAGTTTGTGGAAAAGTTTACAATGGCGGAAATCGAAGGTCGCTTGATGATAAATAGATCGAATCTGATCTGCTTAGCTATGATGCTAGGCAGTGATTACTGTGATGGTATTGAGAATATTGGACCTGTGCATGGCATGGAAGTGCTGGAAGAGTTCGGAAGGGAGTTTGGCATCAAGGTCAGCATAAAATGTTCTTGTTTGAGCGAATTGATTATCAATATCCTTGCGATAAGCAAGGGTATTGCAATCGGGTACTAGACTTTTTTCCCGTAAATAACTGTGTCTACAGGGACTCACTTCTGGACTCCTTCACCTCTTCGCCCTCTTTGCAAATCCTACTCCTCTCGGTTGCATTTATTGAGCATAGTTGAATTCGTTATTTTAAATATCCGTCTTTTTCAAAGTTTGCTTTTTATGTTGGTTGTGATGTTTCCAACTCCATTTGTTAAATGTTTTTGTGTCCTTGTTTCGGCTTAATAGGCTTCGGCCTATTTTATATCGTCTTAGTAACCTAATTTCGGGTAGCTTCAAGGGAAACATTATTTTAATACACAGCTCTGGATCGCACTAAATGCTATAAATCTTAATAGAAATTATAGTTCAAGATTTTCATGAAAACAATTTTTTTCGGCTTTTTTTTGTTTTTTCTTCATTTTTCGGCTTGATAAAATTCTGCCTATGTTATATTCGTTTAATGGCCGCATATTGCGCCTTTCGATGGGCGAAAAAGGTTTGTGTGTGCGTTTTTGTGTTTTGAGGGTGAGGGGGACTTTGTAACTTCTTATTAGTCTTAAAGATTTTTTTTGGCTTGATAGGTTTCGGTCTATGGTACATCGGTTTGATCGCTTCATATTGCGTCGTTTCACGAGCTTGTATGTGTTTTTAGGGTGTGGGGGACTTAATAACTTTTTATTAGTCTTGAGTTTTTTTTGTTTCGATTTTTTTTTATTTTCCTTCTTTTTGGCTGAAGAGGTTTCGGCCCAAATTCTTTTCGGCATAGTGGCCGGATATTGTTTTATTTGATGCGTGAATAAAGTTTGTGTAGATGTGATTGTTTGTTTGTTTATGAGTATGGGAGACTTGGTAATTTAAAAAAAAATCGGCCTAAAGGGTTGCTGCCAAGGTATTTCCGAATTGTTACCGCCTGATAACTTCTGTTTTGATGCTAGCTAGTTTCACATTCTTCTTTCTTGGCTCGTTTTTTTTCATAATTAGCCTCATCGATAGATCTAGTTTTTTCAAAATTTTTGAATTTTTTCGATTTCGCGACTTGTTTTGTATCGCAAGTGGTGCGAAGCTCAGCTTCGCCTCCCTGTCTCATTATTTCTTTCTAAAAGGGAATCCTAAAAAACAGTGTGTTATTCTCGCTCTGAGATGCCTGAAAACAAGCTAGATTTAGTCTGATGGCCCTCTCGCAACTGATGGCACTGTAAAAGAATTCCTTATTTCTACATATGATCATATAGTGTTTATGGTTTAATAATGTTAATTAGCCTTTCATCGATCCTCTGCGAATCGCAGAAACCACCATGCCTAAGCATAGTCCGTTTCTCTTATTGCTTCACTTTCCAGACTGAGTTATAGTCTTGAGCAAAGCTCTTTTTTTTCCGACTCAAAGTCTTTTTCTTGTGTCTAGAATTTTCACATGGTACCACTATTGCAGTCAAATTTGGCCAGCCTGTGGCAGACCAGAATCTAGAGCTGAAGTGAGAGATCCTCCTCGCACATTATTATTGCCATGACAGGGGATTGATTACAAGATCTGACGCACTCGAAATGAAAGCCTTACCATTATGCTTCTTTTTAAAGAAGAACTTGATTGAGGTGTAGATAATATTAGCTATCTGAAGGTCTGATTGTGGTTTTTATTGGTGGCAGAGACATGATTGATTGGGATGAGACCACTCTTAATGTGAAAAAATAAGTTCAATTGAGAGCTATGAATGTACGGTTCAAAAAAGCCACTTGAGGAGTGTTAAAGATTTTCACTCAAATAAGCCATGCGTTTTTTTTCAATGGTATTGAATAATTCGCGCGTCGTGTTTTGAGTAGTTGTGCCAAGTCGAGTTTTGGGAGTAATTTGAGGGTTTTCAAATCAATGGAGCTCCGATTCAGTTCTTTGTCTGCTGAAGGTAAAGACCATTTATCTACGAGGGACAGAACCAACATAAGACTAACTGTTCGGTATGTTACAGAGAACAGCTGCTGTCTCGTTTTTAAAAGTACTAAAATGCATTTTCTGGGGTGATAATAGTTGTCGCACCGTCAAGCTACAAAAAAGAATCATGATGAGCTCTAATCCAATGAACTTTTCAACGAAAGTTGGAATGTCAGGCCGCTTAACTACTGCTCCCTATGGTTATTCCCTAGGCTCACTAAGTTTTCAATTCATCTGTTGAGTGTTTTGATTCTCATTTCAGCCACTCGAAAGTTTCAAAAAATGGCACAACAAAATGTCAAACCAAATCGTACCAGAAGTCACAAATTCTGTTCGCAAGAGACTGCTCAAGTTCCAACTGCCTGAAACATTCCCAAGTCAAAAAGTATTTGACGCCTATTACCAGTCCAGAGTGGACGAGTCCAGAGAGAAATTCAAGTGGGGTCAACCGGATGTGTTCGGGTTGAAGGAGTTCATGGCCCAATATCTCGGATGGCCACCTAAGAAGCTGGACGAAATGCTGCAACCTGTTTTAGAGGTATAATTTTCAGCAAATAAATTAGATACAAATTAATAAGATACAAATTGTCTGTATTTCAGCTCTTGTTATCGAATTATTCCAAAATTCCGTGCTATTCAATTTTTCATTGCTCGAAAATTTACTCTCAAACGACAGGCAGACGTTGAAATCTTGACGACAGGCAGCAGTTTTTACAAATTCATGGTAGCTTGGCGAATTGTACCCGAAAGTTTTGATATCTTCACCTCCTTTTCATTCAATTATTTTGTTTCAGAAACAGAAGAAATTTGTGACCCAAATGAGTCTAGATCAATTTTACACTGTGAGATTGGGAACTGCTAAAAGGGTCGTAAAAAGCAAACGGATCAATGACGCCATATCAAAGATGAAAACCCAGAAGTCGGATGTCTCGACCGACAAACAAAGTGAGCGGTCTGCACCACAGGTTTCAGAGTCACAGAATGAAAGCAGATCGAAGAGTTTGAAAAACGCATCAAAAGAATCCGAAACTGCAGAAGAGAAGCAATTCAGCAAAACTACGAAGAGACCGCAAAGAAAATGCAAACCAGATGCCTCGAGTGAACTAAAAACCGATCCAGCAAATGCTGATGCAAACCAGAAAATTTCTTATAAAAAACGAACTTTTAACTCTAAAAAAGCGAAATCAAAAGTAAAAGCGCAAAATGTTAGAAAAAGAACGAAAGATCTTCAACTGTCAGAGAGTTCGAGCAGTTCTGAAACTTGATAATTCGAGATTATAAGTATTGTACATTTAGTTTTTTTATGAAAAATCTTTTGAACGTATTATCATTTCAGCCAAGTTTTTGTAAATATTTATTGACTACTGCGGCGACTTTTTTTATCACCGGGCAGATCTATGAACGGGTCTTTATTTATGTTTTGAGACGAACATTTCAAACGTATATTTTCGAGTGGGTCAATCTATTTTGTCTAAATTGATACTCGTAAAAATTCGCCGCTCAAGGCTCCATCCCGAAAATTAATTTGGTCAGCATAAATGACGTTTTTTTTACTACTCGGACTATTTACACTAGCGTCAGCTAAGTTTTTTATTAAGAACCTTCTTTTTTTCTAAGAGTGTCGAATATGCCTAAGTTTAAGGCTTTCGTCTAATCTTTTTATCAAACCAGGGACAGAAAAAAAACGACATTCAATTGATTTTCTACTTTTTCTACTAAAACGATATTTTCTACTTTTTCAAAAAAAATGGTCGGACCATTCTGTGCTACTTGCACGCCAACCCGCTGTCCTTGTCTCAAACTGGATTGGGTTTTTTCAAAATTTAAAATCATGCAATATTTTGAAAATTGAGAGTGATATTCAACTTTTGGTCTCAATATTAATTTCTTACATCAGCAAACGCTCGTGTTATTCAATGAGGTCACATTTTTCTAACATATCTCGCATCAGTTAGTGCACTTTGGCTGCCTGCATTTTTGGCATTGGCAGCATAATAGGATGTGTTGTTTTTTTTTGGAAAACAGTAAGTCAAAAATGGCACAGTTGGTAGAAATTTTGACTCTTACCAGTGCCATTGAGTGACGCTGTTTTTGTGTGTGCTCAAGCACATTGGAGAAAAAGTCGAGTAAATAGATTAGCCTATTACACTCTAATTTGCGCGAAACACTTTGGCTCATGAAATCGTTCATTGAGCTAGTCCTCATTACCGGTCTGTTATTACACAAACAAAGCTTGTGTGATAGAATGAACTCTTTTGGGGTGGGTCACTTGAGAAATTTTGTAGACTCAAAGTTTTACTCATTCAGTTTTCTCAGTAGCGTTAGCGGTCATATTTTTGCTTGTCTATGCGAAATCCAACTTCGCCTCTGTATTTGAAGTTTGGATTCAAGTTAGTCATTGATCAAATAGACTAGTTTCCCAATGGTTCGCATAGATGTCCAATACTTCGTTTGCACCTGGATCGTCCTGAGGCTGAAGCTGGAAAAAAACACACAAAAAAGGAAAACTTTCAATTACTCAGTGTCAAAAAGAGTTGCGAATTGCTGTGACCAGAATAGTCGCGTGTACGAAAAGTTGTCTGAAACGAATAGCTGCCTTAAGATAAAAAATACGAGCTATCGATTTTAACGAATTATCAATACTTCAAAATTCTGAGAATCCAGGCAAGGTAAATATCGCATTTTGCATCATATGTCATGAATCAAGACGGGTTTGAATTTCAGATTTGGTTTATGGAGTTTCTCATCTGATTGTGCAATAAAAGTATGGAATCTTTGAGTGATCATTTTGAGAGTTCCGAGCAAACATTTAGCGGATCAAACGAGCATGTGCAAAAAACTGTCGACGCGAGGAGTGTAGCAAAGCATATCAAAAAAGATCCATTAGCTTTCGATTTCCTGTTATGTCTGGTATCAAGTGCTGCCAAGACCTACAGAAGGGAAACTACTCTGAAACCGGTTCCAAAACTCAACCAGGAGCCGATGGATGTGGCCAAAGCATTCCAACTGGTCGATGGACTCCCGAGTTTGACGACGATAATGCTGGATCCAGACTGTCTCAATCAAGTCCAGGTAAAACCACAAATTTTCCACCACAAATCTAAGAAATGGTTGAAGGGTATCTTTTTTTTCTCGAGTGCCAACATGTTTTCTTGTTTAGAGTATTTGAACATTTTCTTTTCACTTTGGGTTTCACAATATTTATATTAAAAACGTTCGAGGCGTTTTTTATTTCAGCCCATTTGTTTCTTTCAAGGGCCTCATCCAGAATTTTTGTTTGTTTATAAGCATGAAACTATTCCAGTAACTGAAGTGAAAAACTAATATGGTCTCTCTAACGTTACTGGGCTGATTATTAGCGGTAATTATAATGACGCGTGATTTTTCATTAACAACTTTTTTAGAGTTTGTTAATTGGAATCATCTGATCACGAGATTAATCAGAATTTTCGCTTATGATGTTTTCTAAAGTAATATGGCTAATTGCCTGCTAAGCTCAAGTCAGCTATGAACAGCTAAATAAAACAATAACACTTTTTGAGTAAAATCTTTCCATAATAAGGTGCGACTCAGCAATGGGGAGTGCGCTTCGCAGATGATATATTATCGATTTGATTCGTCCTTACAACGGTTGATGTGCGAGAAGCGAGTTGACTTTGTGACTCATTGTGATTTTTCACTGATATTTATTTTAGAACTTGGTTACTGGAATCTGATCCCAAGATTCTTCAGAATTCTAGCTTATGATGTTTCCTTAAGTAATATGGCTAATTGTCTGCTGAGCTAACTTGTTCAACTCAAATCAGCCATCTACAGCAAATAAAAACAGCTCAAATTTATTTGAATAATATCTTTTCAAAAAGGTACGACTCATTTATAAGGAGTGCTCTTCTCAGATGATACGTTGTCTTTTCTAATTGTCCTAAAAACGATTGATGTGCGAGAAGCGGGATGACTTTTGTGACTCATTGTGATTTTTAATTGAAATATTTTTTAGAATTTGGTTAATGGAATCAGATCCCGAGATTCTTCAGATTTCTCGCTTATGAGGTTTCCTAAAGTAATATGGTTAATTGTCTGCTGCGCTAAGTTGTTCAACTCAAATTAGCCAAGTACAGAAAAATAAAACAGCTCAACTTAATTTGAATAATAACTTCTCAATAAGGTACGACTCATTTATAAGGAGTGCGCTTGGCAGATGATACGTTATCGATTCCAAACGTCCTTAAAACGATTGATGGACGAGAAGCGAGATCACTTTTGTCGCTCATTGTGATTTTTCATTGATACTATTTTTAGAATTTGGTTTCTGGAATTTGATCCCAAGATTCTTCAGAATTCTAGCTTATGATGTTTCCTAAAGTAATATGGCTAATTGTCTGCTGAGCTAACTTGTTCAACTCAAATCAGCCATCTACAGCAAATAAAAACAGCTCAAATTTTTTTGAATAATATCTTTTCAAAAAGGCACGACTCATTTATAAGGAGTGCTCTTCTCAGATGATACGTTGTCTTTTCTAATTGTCCTTAAAACGATTGATGTGCGAGAAGCGGGATGACTTTTGTGACTCATTGTGATTTTTAATTGAAATATTTTTTAGAATTTGGTTACTGGAATCAGATCCCGAGATTCTTCAGATTTCTCGCTTATGATGTTTCCTAAAGTGATATGGTTAATTGTCTGCTGCGCTAAGTTGTTCAACTCAAATTAGCCAAGTACAGAAAAATAAAACAGCTCAACTTAATTTGAATAACAACTTTTCAATAAGGTACGACTCATTTATAAGGAGTGCGCTTGGCAGATGATACGTTGTCGATTTCAAACGTCCTTAAAACGATTGATGGGCGAGAAGCGAGATCACTTTTGTCGATCATTGTGATTTTTCATTGATACTTTTTTTAGAATTTGGTTTCTGGAATTTGATCCCGAGATTCTTCAGAATTCTCGCTTATGATATTTCCTAAAGTAATATGGCTAATTGTCTGCTGCGATAAGTTGTTCAACTCAAATTAGCCATGTACAGAAAAATAAAACAGCTTAACTTTATTTGAATAATAACTTTCGATCAGGTACGACTCATTTATAAGGAGTGCGCTTGGCAGATGATACGTTGTCTATTCCAAACGTCCTTAAAACGATTGATGTGCGAGAAGCGAGATTATTTTTGTGGCTCATTGTGATTTTTCATTGATACTTATTTTAGAATTGGGTTTCTGTAATTTGATCCCGAGATTCTGCAGAATTCTAGCTTATGATGTTTCCTGAAGTAAAATGGCTAATTGTCTGCTGAGCTAACTTGTTCAACTCAAATCAGCCATCTGCAGCAAATAAAAACAGCTCAAATTTTTTTGAATAATATCTTTTCAAAAAGGTACGACTCATTTATAAGGAGTGCTCTTCTCAGATGATACGTTGTCTTTTCTAATTGTCTTTAAAACAATTGATGTGCGAGAAGCGGGATGACTTTTGTGACTCATTGTGATTTTTAATTGAAATATTTTTTAGAATTTGGTTACTGGAATCAGATCCCGAGATTCTTCAGATTTCTCGCTTATGAGGTTTCCTAAAGTAATATGGTTAATTGTCTGCTGCGCTAAGTTGTTCCAATCAAATTAGCCAAGTACAGAAAAATAAAACAGCTCAACTTAATTTGAATAATAACTTTTCAATAAGGTACGACTCATTTATAAGGAGTGCGCTTGGCAGATGATACGTTGTCGATTCCAAACGTCCTTAAAACGATTGATGGACGAGAAGCGAGATCACTTTTGTCGCTCATTGTGATTTTTCATTGATACTTTTTTTAGAATTTGGTTGCTGGAATTTGATCCCAAGATTCTTCAGAGTTCTAGCTTATGATGTTTCCTGAAGTAATATGGCTAATTTTCTGCTGAGCTAACTTGTTCAACTCAAATCAGCCATCTACAGCAAATAAAAACAGCTCAAATTTTTTTGAATAATATCTTTTCAAAAAGGTACGACTCATTTATAAGGAGTGCTCTTCTCAGATGATACGTTGTCTTTTCTAATTGTCTTTAAAACAATTGATGTGCGAGAAGCGGGATGACTTTTGTGACTCATTGTGATTTTTAATTGAAATATTTTTTAGAATTTGGTTACTGGAATCAGATCCCGAGATTCTTCAGATTTCTCGCTTATGATGTGTCCTAAAGTAATATGGTTAATTGTCTGCTGCGCTAAGTTGTTCAACTCAAATTAGCCAAGTACAGAAAAATAAAAAGCTCAACTTAATTTGAATAATAACTTTTCAATAAGGTACGACTTATTTATAAGGAGTGCGCTTGGCAGATGATACGTTGTCGATTCCAAACGTCCTTAAAACGGTTGATGGGCGAGAAGCGAGATCACTTTTGTCGCTCATTGTGATTTTTCATTGATACTTTTTTAGAATTTGGTGTCTGGAATTTGATCCCGAGATTCTTCAGAATTCTCGCTTATGATGTTTCCTAAAGTAATATGGCTAATTGTCTGCTGCGCTAAGTTGTTCAACTCAAATTAGCCATGTACAGAAAAATAAAACAGCTTAACTTTATTTGAATAATAACTTTCAATCGAGTACGACTCATTTATAAGGAGTGCGCTTGGCAGATGATATGTTGTCTATTCCAAACGTCCTTAAAACGATTGATGTGCGAGAAGCTGGATGACTTTTGTGACTCATTGTGATTTTTAATTGAAATATTTTTTAGAATTTGGTGACTGGAATCAGATCCCGAGATTCTTCAGATTTCTCGCTTATGATGTTTCCTAAAGTGATATGGTTAATTGTCTGCTGCGCTAAGTTGTTCAACTCAAATTAGCCAAGTACAGAAAAATAAAACAGCTCAACTTAATTTGAATAATAACTTTTCAATAAGGTACGACTCATTTATAAGGAGTGCGCTTGGCAGATGATACGTTGTCGATTCCAAACGTCCTTAAAACGATTGATGGGCGAGAAGCGAGATCACTTTTGTCGATCATTGTGATTTTTCATTGATACTTTTTTAGAATTTGGTTTCTGGATTTGATCCCGAGATTCTTCAGAATTCTCGCTTATGATGTTTCCTAAAGTAATATGGCTAATTGTCTGCTGCGATAAGTTGTTCAACTCAAATTAGCCAGGTACAGGAAAATAAAACAGCTTAACTTTATTTGAATAATAACTTTCGATCAGGCACGACTCATTTATAAGGAGTGCGCTTGGCAGATGATACGTTGTCTATTCCAAACGTCCTTAAAACGATTGATGTGCGAGAAGCGAGATTATTTTTGTGGCTCATTGTGATTTTTCATTGATACTTATTTTAGAATTGGGTTTCTGGAATTTGATCCCGAGATTCTGCAGAATTCTAGCTTATGATGTTTTCTGAAGTAATATGGCTAATTGTCTGCTGAGCTAACTTGTTCAACTCAAATCAGCCATCTACAGCAAATAAAAACAGCTCAAATTTTTTTGAATAATATCTTTTAAAAAGGTACGACTCATTTATAAGGAGTGCTCTTCTCAGATGATACGTTGTCTTTTCTAATTGTCCTTAAAACGATTGATGTGCGAGAAGCGGGATGACTTTTGTGACTCATTGTGATTTTTAATTGAAATATTTTTTAGAATTTGGTAACTGGAAGCAGATTCCGAGATTCTTCAGATTTCTCGCTTATGCTGTTTCCTAAAGTAATATGGTTAATTGTCTGCTGCGCTAAGTTGTTCAACTCAAATTAGCCAATTACAGAAAAATAAAACAGCTCAACTTAATTTGAATAATAACTTTTCAATAAGGTACGACTCATTTACAAGGAGTGCGCTTGGCAGATGATACGTTGTCGATTCCAAACGTCCTTAAAACGATTGATGTGCGAGAAGCGAGATTACTTTTGTGGCTCATTGTGATTTTTCATTGATACTTATTTTAGAATTGGGTTTCTGGAATTTGATCCCGAGATTCTGCAGAATTCTAGCTTATGATGTTTCCTGAAGTAATATGGCTAATTGTCTGCTGAGCTAACTTGTTCAACTCAAATCAGCCATCTAAAGCAAATAAAATCAGCTCAAATTTTTTTGAATAATATC